ATACCAGCACGGGGAACCTTTCCTTTCCCTGAACACGGGGGATTTTCAGCAGCTTCCTCAATGGCTTTGGGTAATCTCTGTTGCCTTCCTGAGTGCAGCTGGGGGAAGGAAACTGCTGATGAGTGTGTGGAGCGGACGATCCTGACCCATGGGACGATCCCGACCGTGGGGGAACATCCACCGTGGGGCTTTTTGCGTGGAAGTCCCCGTGAGGAAGGGTGTTGTGCTGCGTGCGCTTATTTTGGATGTGTAGGACAGAGGGTACTTCTGCTTTTGCGGTCTTTATCTTTGCTTCACGGAACTGCAGTTGTTTTCCTTTCACTAGATGGGGGTGGCTTTTTTCCTGTTTCCTTTTACATAAAGCCTTACGCTTCGGTTGTCAGAAGAGGCCCCAAAGTTGCTGCTGTTCATTGCATGGGTTCAGGATTTACTCCTGGGAGTGAAACGAAAGTTAATTTGGGGCTGGTGTCAACCGTGGAGGACACAGTCCTTGGTGGAGCCGGTTCCTTTCGTTTCTGGGCAGGCTGGTTTCCCGTTAGCCACGAGAGGGGATTATTCTGAGAAAGGACTGTAAGGACCAAACCCCACTTTCTGTTTCTGGCTTTTCCAGCTTCCATCGGGTCCTTTCAAACTTGTGCAAATGCGGAGTTTCAATGAGAAACTCCTGGTGATGTCTCTGAGGCTCAGCTCTGCCTTTTCTTGTCTCGTTAGCAAGACTGTTAATTCCCAACAGATGCAGGTTCCTGGCTTCCCAGGGGCAGGGTTAGTGTCTGCTTCTCTCTCGTGGCTGGTAGCAGCAGCCCTTTGAAATCTTGGTGCAAAAGCACTCCGGGTGCTGTGCCATAGCTGTCTGTAGAAGAGGCACTTTGTGTAGCCCAGCCGAAAGGGAACAGAGTACCACGAACATCTTGATCTTTAAACCAGCTGTTGTCCAGGGAGCATCGGTAAAAGCACTTTAAGCTGTTTTGCCTCTTCCACGTGTGCTGAAATTAATACCTTTTTCCAATAACAGTTCATTATTTTGTGTCTTTGGAGGCCAGCGCGCTAACCCTGGGCACGTGGGAGCAGAGCTCTTAAGATCTGGTAATTGTTGGATAATTGTGCATGTGTAACGTGCAGGGATGCTGTCACGCTCACACTTAATCCTGTACTTTGCTCCTGTCTTACCAAAACCACCTTTGCGACTGATCTCGAACACTTTCTAAAATGCAGATCCCCAGCCAATATTTTGCTTTGCTGTTTGGCTTTTTGCGTTTTTCCCCTCCCTTCAGCCGGCGAGAAGAGATGAAGGCAGATTCCCCACTGCTCTCTGCCTGGCTCCTGCGAGGGTCCCTCACACCACAGCCCTTCCTCCAGCCTCCCAAACCCTTGGCCACGTCTTGGAGCTCGTTATTAAGCCTCCATGCGAAGACGTGGGGTTCGGCACCACGCCGTGTACTGGAACATTCACCAGAGAGCAGAAGAGTTTATTGCACGGAGCAGGAATTCCTCCCCGGTGTAGTCACCAGTGCTTTGAACTCTCCGTGGGGAGCTCGCTGTTGCTCACGCAGCCCGGGGCGATCCGCCTTGGAAGAGGCGGTCTCTAAAACCAGGCAAGCCATCTGGTGCAGACCTCCAGTTTCATGTTTCAGGGGATGAACTCAACTCCCGCAGAGTTCACTTACGGCTGCTTTCACAAAAGCCTCCGACTCTGCAGAATTGGGCGTCTCATAACCCCTAAGTTAAACATATGGTTTTTCCTCGTGCCCCTCCGTCGAGAGGCCTTTTCCTGCCGTCTGCGGAGGAGCAGGATTGCACACCCAGCTGGAGAAATCATGCTCAAGTGTTCGTTTTCTGTGTCTTTCCTTCTTTGGTGTCCGTCTTGAAATGAGCTGGATCTCACTTTCTGGGGTGCAGAGTCCCTTCTGTATGAGTTTGGTGGAAGGTGCAAGTGCTGTAACCATCAACATGCTCCAAATTAGTGCTTTCACAGAAAAGCTTTGCCGAATCTTGTTGCAGCCTTTTAAAGCCCTGCCTGGGCCTGATGGACACGTCTCTTCCACCAACGCGATGCAGTAAGCAGAAGGGATGCTCATCTGTATCTCTGGTGTGGTGCTCAGTTATCTAGGTTGAACCACTGATGAAGGAGGGTTTGCACGTGGGTGCTGGGCTGTGGTTGTGCTGGCTGGAGCCTGACTCATGTTCCCTTCTGCTACGAGGGGCAGAAAACTCTAGCAGATGTTGCAGAGGCAACAGGGAGCAGTAGCAGTAATATTTTCCTGCACTTGTCTGTCACAGCTCTTTAGGGACCATTTTGAAGTCGTTCATCTTTGGTTGACTTGCTGGAAATGCTGGTGTGAGTGCCTTAGGACTTAGGATTGCAGTGTTCTTGGTGGCCAGCATGTGCAGAAGCCACAGGTCAAGGATCTGTGTCTCTCCCAGCCCTGCTCCCACCCCGTGTCTCCTCATCTGTGGAGGCAGAAACGTGCGTTTGGGGCAGGTGTTGGAGTGGGACTTCACTGGCTCCGTCCTGCTGCTGCTTTTTTGCTTGGTTGGTTTTCAACCAACATGTGCAGAATGCACAATCAGCATCTTGGAGAAGCAGCAGTAGGAAAGAGGAAGCTCACGCAGAATATAAATAGCCAAATTTGAAAATGTACCAGTGTAGCAGCTCGCCTGGCTCTTGGCATGAGCCTGGCTGAAGACCGCTGGGAAGCTGCCTACTCCGTGTGCGGTTTGCAAAGGGGGAACTTTGGGGGATATCGCACAAGTCAGCAAGACAAAAAATGAATGAATCTGACAGTCTTGAATATGGGAAGGAAACAAAATTTGCCTCTACGCACATCAAAATTGGGTGTATCCGCTGCACGTGACACGAAATACAGAGCGAAACCCCCTGCAGAGCTATGGCAATACTTTCCACTGTAGTTGCACAGCAGCTGCCAATGATTCATGGGTTGAGCCTGGGACACTTTGTCCTCCTCTATGATTTCTTTATTAATTTAATTGCGTCTCCACAAACATATGATTTCTCTTGAAATTTGTGTCTGGGGTTTACAATTGCCCAGCCCAAATCTCTTTTCTGAGATCCCAGCACAGGGATTTGGTCCTCCTGGACCCAGCCCAAAGTCAGTGTAACTGGAAGACAGGCAGGGTAGGGCTGGATTGCAATTTGGGGAGTAAAGACTGGATAGAGCCTGGGAGAGATGCTGTGAGGTACTGTTGGTAGTGATCCCCCTTCTCTATCACCTCCCCTTGGGCTTGTGTGCTCAAGAGGCACCTACTGCTGTCTCTTCTGGAGGACAGCACATAGCTGTGGGCACCAGGGTCTGAGCACAAATTGGGAAGAGTTCCCATAGCTTTTATTTCTTTTTGTTGGAAACGGTACCTCTAGGTGGATGACAGACAACCTGGCTGACTTGGGCTCAAGAGGAAGAAGTCCAGTAACCCTGTCCAGGGGGATTCTCTGTCCTCATTCATTACAACCACGAATGAGAGCCTTTTTGAAGTCTTCCCTTTATTCTTCGAGGTGGCCGTGGTTCCCTGCCTTAATTCCTTGCTAATATCACTTGTCTTGGGCAGGGTAGGGTAACGGGGCCGTGACCACTGCTGTGATGGTGATGATAAAGGATGGTTAAAGAGCCTGTTTAGGTGCACATCAGCTCAGGGTCTTGTTCGGTGCTGCCTGCTCAGTGTCTCATGAGATGTGCAGCATCATCTGAAGCCGTGGCCCAGGGTACTGCCATTCCCATGTTTTCAGGGAGCGATGTGGGAGGAGGATTTTTTGCAGGGAGCAGCAGGGCTCCATCCTGGGTCACCCCACGGCAGCTTCTTCCCCAGCAAGCCTTACCTTGGTGCCATTGCTCAGGGCTTTTTGTTCTCCTGAGAGGCAGATTGCAGGTAGAGCTGCAGGCTGGCTCTGGCCCCTGGCTAGCAGCATGTTACACATGGGGGGATCGTGTCCCCGAGCCCCCACACCCCAGTGCGTCGTCACCTCCCCCTGATAACCGGCTTTATTGCTCTGGGGCATTTTCCCCATCTGCTGAGCAGTGGGTTTTACCGCATGTTAGGCTGCATCCCTGCATTTGGCGTGGGGGATGGAGGGTGGGGGAGATCCCCGCGGTGTTTAAAGGGATCTGAATAAATCCTCTTAAGAGAGGCGCTGACTCAGCAGAGCGTGGTGAGGGAGGAGGAGGAGGAGGAGGGAACTGAATTATCCTTGTGGGGCTGGAGCCGCTGCCGATCCCCACGCTGGCACGTGGAGCTGGGGCAGACATGTGCCTGGGGATCTATCCCAAGAAGCATCCCCTCTTTCCTCACCAAATTTGAGATGGTCTCCATCTCCCCAGGGCAGAAATGTGAGCCTCACAGCTGGGGCTGGGGCCCGGAGGTGGCTGTCCCCAGGGTTGCAGGGACCTGTCCCCACTGTGCCCAAGCCCACCCCAGCGCCACTCCCCAAGATTTCCCCCCACCTTTAAGCTGCCCCCTTAGATTTCTGCCCTGTGTGCATGCCCAGCACTGCCAAAGCTCACGGGAGGCTCATTTTCATGGTTATTATTTATTACCAAAGATGTGCAGAGGCAATCAGTTCCCACAGGGGCAGATTACTGAGATTATGGTCACGCTGAGTGGCAATGTCACCTTACGGGACAGGCAAAGGCTTGGGGAGGGGGGAAGCAGCCAGGGCTGGGTACAGGGGTGTGCTGTCATCCCCCCCACCCCTCAGGTCCCCTCTCTGTCTGACTGGTGGAGGCTCAGTTTGCAGAAGGGCTGAGACGCAGAGGCAGGAGACAGAGAGCAGACTGAGAGCAGCTTCCCAAAGTCTTGGCTCTGCCTGAGTGCAGGCTCAGGTGGGCCCAGGGTTCAGGTGGCCAGGAGGACTGGTGTCGCCTGGTTTGCATTTCTGAGCAGGCAAAGGCAGACTCGCTGCCTGCCGGCTGTTGCCTTGGGCTTGCCATGATGCCATCTCTGCCACACTTCACCCTCCTTATCTCAAGGTGTATCTTGTTCTCCCGTTGCAGAGCTCCACACAGGAGATCGGAGAAGAGCTGGAGGATGGTGTGATCTACAGCATATCGCTCCGGAAGGTGCAGCTCCATCACACGGCCAACAAAGGGCAGCGATGGCTGGGGGTAAGCTGGGCGTTCCACCATCTTGCTGCCACATGGGGTTCTCAGGTGTTTCCCTGCCAGAGACATGGTGACCCGATACCGGGGCTTGGCAGGGTCAATACCAGCCCATGTGCTGCTCTCTTCTCGCTCCCCCATACACTCCTGTCCTGGGGGGTTCCTGCAGGCCTTATCTGGGAATCATATTTGGGAGTACTGGCTGGCCTCTGCCCCACAGGAGAGGGCATGGGGGAAATGATCTGAAGCCCTGTTTTGCAAAATAGGGCAGCCCTGATTTGCTTCTAGATTTTTTGCAACCTTGAGGCCTTTCCTAGGATTTCCCAAATGCTCAAATCTTCTCAGCTGAGTTGCTGGTATTTGGTGTCTGAGGAGACCCAGCTTCCCTTTCCCCTAACCCATCATGAGAGCCCTGGGCACTGAAGGGGGGTCTCCGTGATCCCAGCCTAGACCCCAAAGCAGCTTCCAAATCTGGTGGGACTGCATTGCACTTGAACGTGCCTGTCTTCATCCAGCTCACTGACTTCTGCTCTTGTCCTGGCAGTTTGAGAATGAGTCGGCCTTAAACCTCTATGAGACGTGTAAGGTGAGGACGATAAAAGCTGGGACCTTGGAGAAGCTGGTGGAGTACCTGGTCTCAGCCTTCAAGGGCAATGACTCCACCTACGTCACCATCTTCCTGTGCACTTACCGGGCCTTCGCCACCACCAAGCAAGTGCTGGACCTGCTGCTTAACAGGTGAGGCTGCCCCGAGCCCCAAAACACAGCTGGGGGTGTCCGGTGTCTTGAGTCCCCCTTGATGAGGAGAGCCCCAACATCTTGGGCTGATGGGCTTCTCCCAACCCCATCAGCATGAAGGTTCTGGGGCAGGGAGGAGAGAACTTTTCAATGAGCTGGAGCCCTTCCAGCTGGTGCCCCGCTGTGAAGTGGCCAGTGCTGGTTACTTCCCTCTTCCCATAACACAGGGGCCGTGGCAGGCTGGGGGAGCAGGACAGTGCATAAGAGGTTCATCCTGACCCCTGGTAGAGCTGGGATGATGGGACAGTGCATAAGAGGTTCATCCTGACCCCCTGGCAGAGCTGGGATGGAGGGAGCTCTGAGACACAGGTGAGTCCAGCATGCTCACTGCCTCCTCGCTGTGTCCCACCAGGTACGGCAAACTCCACGTGCAGGCGAATGGGGACCATGCCAGGCACGCTGTGGATGAGAGGACAGAGCTGAAGAAGTAAGTCTGGCCACACTGGGGGGGACCAAGATGGGTGGCTCTGGTGATAGCTCTTTGGTTCTCCTACAAAGGCATGTGCTGTCCCAGGGGTGCTCGGAGGTGCACATGGGTTTCTCCTGGCACCTAGTCCTCACGCAGGTTTGCCTGTGTTCCCCACAGCACCATCTCCTCCATCCTGGGCGCCTGGCTGGACCAGTACTCAGAGGACTTCCGCAAGCCCCCGGACTTTGCCTGCCTCAAGCAGCTCATCTCCTACGTGCGCCACAACATCCCCGGCTCGGACCTGGAGCGCCGAGCCCGCATCCTGCTGGCCCAGTTCCAGCAGCAAGAGAAGAGCGAGTCGGAGGCAGAAGGTGGGGGTCTTCTCCACACTTGTGGGGTGATGTTTAGGGCTGCAGGTGCAGGGAGTGCTACTGGTTGGCATCGAGGGTCTCCAAAACCTTGGGTCTGGCCACGTGGCCAACCTCCATAGTCCCTGCCTGCCTTTACATGGAGGTATACTGGGAAGCTAATCCAACTGCACCAGAAGTGGGATCTCTAAATGGATTAGCTAATCTGCTTTTAATCCTCTGCAGACACTTGTGTCCAGGTTTAAAATGACTATCATTTTATCTGAGCCTCATTTCTCAAGGCGTGAAGCCAGATGGGAATTAAGAGCCCGGGAGGTGGGATGTGGTGTGGGCAGGGGGCTGGCACTGGCTGGTGGCAGTGCTGTGGTGCTCAGCTTTGCCCTCTCTCTCGCAGCTGTGGACCACGGTGGCTGCACCTTCCAGCTGGTGGAGGAGAACGGGGTCGGGGACGGGAAGCCGGATTTCCTCTCCTTCTCCCCAGAGATGGTGGCAGAACAGTTCACACTGATGGATGCTGTGAGTACTCATTCGGCAGCTGGGTCGATGGTGCCCTGCCCGTCTGCTGCTCTGGGCACAGGCCTGTCTCTTCCCTTCCACCTTTTCCTCCCGGCTTGTTCCCTTCCCAGGGACCCCAAAGAGACCCATCTCCATCCCTTTATCTTCCAGGAGTTGTTCAAGAAAGTGGTGCCTTACCACTGCCTGGGCTGCATCTGGTCCCAGCGAGACAAGAAGGGCAAGGAGCACCTGGCACCCACCATCCGTGCCACGGTCTCGCAGTTCAACAGCGTGGCCAACTGTGTCATCGCCACGTGTCTCGGTGACCGGTCCCTGAAGCCGCAGCAGAGGGCTAAAGTGGTGGAGCGGTGGATCGAAGTGGCTCGGGTAGGACAGCTCACCGTCCTGATCACCTCCCACCCCGGCCCAAGGGCTGAGGGGTTGTGTTGTGTGAGTCCCAGCAGATCCCTGGGCTTTCTTTAACGCTGAGTCTTGTCTTCTCCTTATCTGCCCCCAGGAGTGCCGCATCCTGAAGAACTTCTCTTCCCTCCGAGCCATCCTCTCGGCTCTGCAGTGCAATGCTGTTCACCGGCTGAAGAAGACCTGGGATGAGGTCCTACGGTAAGCAGTGCCTGCTGGGCTCCTGTGGCCACAGGGAGCTTTCAAGGGGGAGGTTGTGCTGTGGTCCTTGAATACATAAATGGGATCAACTCGGCTCCAGCATTGCCTCTTGGAGTGTGCCCAAAACCCAGGGACCTAAGGAGGGTGAGGAAAGAAAACCACCATCACCTCCTCCTCCTTTCCATGCAAAACACCCTAGAATAGTCCCCAAAAGCAAGACCCTGCTAGAGCTGTGAGCGTTGCGGGTGTCCTTTGGGTGGGCAGAAGAGAGCCTGAGGAGGGGATCCCATGGTGGCACCATTGCTGACTTCCCCCCCTGTTTCTCCCTGAGCAGGGAGAGCTTCCGCACTTTCCACGAGCTCTCTGAGATCTTCTCCGACGAGAACAACCACTCGCTGAGCCGGGAGCTTCTCATTAAGGTATGGGCAAGCAGTACCCGTGTCGCCCTTTCTCTGGTAGGGAGCTCGGGCTGATGGTGGCAGAAGTTTCTACCATGTTCCAGCCACCAGGCTCCAGCCCTGGCAGCGCCACTGGGGTTGCCGGTGTGGGTGCAGGCAGGGCCTGCTGAGCTGGGGAGCAGGCAGGGGTTTTGGACCAGGCTGGGCTTTCTGCTTCTCCACCCAAACGTCGTCATTGTCTGAAGCCTGCAGAGCAATTCAGCAAGCAGAGATAAGCAGGGGGATAGGATCTGCTGCACCGGGTGATGGCTTCTCCCCAGAGGCAGCTGCGTTTTAACAGCCCAGTGCAAAGTCCTCTTGATTTCAGGTTGGGGTTTAGGGTTCATGAAAGGCTGCAGAAAAAATGTCCTTCTTCCCTGTGGAGCCTCTCAACAGCTTCCCAGCCTAGCTCCAGTTTGAGGGCTGAGAGGACACAAAATGCAAAAGGGAACAAAACATCCCATTGAGGAGCCATTTATACAGAGCTGGAAACGGGAGCAGCAGTTCCCATTCACTAATCCTCTCCTCCCCGTGAGCCATGAAAAAGCTCAGCTGTGATTTCCTCCTCATCCCTCTTCCCCTCTAGAAGGAAAGTTGTACTGATAAAAGCAGGGGTGAATTTTAGCTCATTTATTAGTGCAGTTTCCCAGCCGCGCTGATCCCTACCTCTCCCCACCATCCAGGAGGGCACGTCCAAATTCGCCACCTTGGAGATCAACCCCAAGAGGGCTCAGAAGCGGCAGCAGCAGCAGCGAGAGATGGTGAGTCTGGCACAGCCACCCCCATGCCCCCTCCCCAGCGGCTGCCAGGGCTGGTCCCAGCTCTCTGCTGACCTTGCTGTCCCCACAGGGTGTGATGCAGGGCACCATCCCCTACCTTGGCACCTTCCTCACGGATCTGGTGATGCTCGACACCGCCATGAAGGATTTCCTGGACGTATGTACCTCCATCTCCTTCCTCTCCTTCCTCTGTACCAGAGCCCGGGCTGATAGATGGAGGGCTGGTCCCCCATGTGTCCTGGACCAGACACTGCACCCTGAGCATCCACCTCCACCAGCCCATGGAGGTGGGATGCTCTGGTGCTGCCCCTCATCAGGGACACCCGCACTGCAGTGGCCGTGAGCTGAGGGACAGGGAGGGACCCCCACAATATTTTTCTGCCTGTTCCACGCTGACACCCGGCTTCTTCTTTTCCAGGGAGGCCTGATCAACTTCGAGAAAAGGAGGAAGGTGAGAGCTCTGCGCTGGCAGCAGCACGGCGGGGTGGAGGGAGGAGGATGACGTGGTGCAAGCCCAGGCTCTGCCAGTCACTTTGGGGTTGATCTCCTGCCTTTTGTTGTTGTTGTGTTCTTCATTTTGGGGCCTTCATAGAATCACAGAATTGTCTGGGTTGGAAGCGATCTTTAAGATCATCAAGTCCAACCATTAACCTAACACTGCCAAAACCACTACTAAACCATGTCCCGAAGCACCACATCTTTTAAATGTGGTCTTTTAAATACCTCCAGGGATGGTGACTCAACCACTTCCCTGGGCAGCGTGTTCCAGTGTTTTATAACCCCTTTGGTGAAGAAAATTTTCCTAATATCCATCCTAAACCTCCCCTGGTGCAACTTCATATCTGTCTCTGTGTGTGGGGCTGGGGCTGGCAAACAGATCTGGTCTCATGGCTTCTGTTCACTGCAGGAGTTTGAAGTCATCGCCCAGATCAAGCTGCTTCAGTCGGCCTGCAACAACTACAGCTTCACGCAGGAGGACCAGTTCGTGGACTGGTTCCACAGCCTGGAGCGGCTCAGTGAGGCCGAGAGGTGAGTGTGAGCGGGGTCTGGAGCTGCGCTGCCACCGGTGCCCCGGGAGGTCCCACCGCTCATCTCCAGCTGCCCTGAGCTCCACTCCCTGCCCTACCTCCTCGCCCTGCTGGCACGGTGCTCGCTGCAGCAGCACAGGGACCTCAAACCCTCATCTCTCCCCTCCCAGCTATGGGCTGTCGTGTGAGATCGAGCCGCTGTCGGAGTCAGCCAGCAACACGTTGAAGGCGAAGAAAAACACGGGCATCATCAAGCGATGGAGCGAGTAAGTCTGCTCCTCCCCGGCGGGAGGTGGGGGCCAGCCTGGGGAAACTGAGGCTGAGGATTGAGGGGAGCAGGCTGGGGTGGCCACTTTCCTCGCTCTGCTCAGCTCTCACCTGCCCCGTGTCTCTCTCCTCGCAGCCGGCAGCCACCCAGCACCGAGCCCTGCGCCAGCGGCAGCTCCCACTCGAAATCCTTCGACCAGCTCAAGTGTGGGCAGTACCTGTGCAGCGGGGACGCCACCGACTCCGTGAGCGTCACCTCCGCCGGCTCCAGCAGCTCCGACGTGGAGGAGATCAACATCAGCTTCATCCCCGAGTCCCCCGACTGCCAGGAGAAGAAGGTACGGGGCAGCTCACGGGGTCCAGGCCTCTAGAGGCAGTTACAGCCCTGGCAGTGGGGCTGGGGGGAGTGGGTGGGGGTCCCGGGGACTGTTTCTGACCCACCGGGACTAGGGAGGCCCCTGCCCTTGGCTGCTCCGGCAGCGTGGCGGGGCTCTCGTGCCTGCGGTGGCTGTAGTCGTGTCGGTCCCCCATTGTCACAGGTCAGTGAGATCCCTCTGGCCTCCCTCCCCCAGCGCTGGTACGCCCCGTCTGTGGCCGACGGAGAAGCTAAAACCACTGTGTCCTCCGCATCCCCTCTCCTCCCTGCCCTCCAGTTCTGGGAATCCACCTCCCTCTCCTCCCTGGACACGTCGGGCATCGGCTCAGGCTCCAGCAGTGCCTCGTCTTCTTCCGTCTCCTCCACGCCGGTGACTGCCTCCCGCACCCACAAGCGCTCGGTCTCCGGCATCTCCAGCTACTCCTCCCTCTCGCTGCCCCTCTACAACCAGCAGGTCGACGACTGCTGCATCATCCGCGTCAGCCTGGCTGTGGACAACGGCAACATGTACAAGAGCATCCTGGTTAGTAGGGGACACCCGCGGTGACACCAGGGAGGGGTGGCTTGTCCCTGACATCAGGGCAGGATGGATCCTGCCCTCCTCCTGCTGGGTTGTGGGCATGGTCCGTTTTGGGAGGAGATGATGGTGGGAGGTTTCGCAGGGTTTTGCACCCCCTGGGCTAATAACGCTCTGCGCTCACAGGTGACGAGCCAGGATAAGACCCCGGTGGTTATTCGCAAGGCCATGGCCAAACACAACTTGGACGGGGACCGGCCTGAAGACTATGAGCTTGTTCAGATCATCTCAGAGGAGAGAGGTGTGTGCTGGGGTGCAGGGGGCTGTCCTGGGGGCTGTGTCCCTGGCCAGCTACACAGCCTGGGCAGTAGCGGCTCAGAGCTGGGCTGAGAGGTGACAGCAGAAGGGTCCCAGCACCCAGGGACAACTCTCAGCCCCACTCTGAGCCCTTGTCAGGGAAAGGGTGACTGACCCCCTTCCTTGGTTCCTTCCAGAGCTGAAGATCCCCGACAACGCCAACGTCTTCTACGCCATGAACTCTGCCGCCAACTACGACTTCGTGCTGAAGAAGCGGGGCTTCTCCAAGGGGGTGAAGATCAAGCACGGCTCCAGCTCCACCCTGCCCAGGATGAAGCAGAAAGGCCTGAAGATCGCCAAAGGCATCTTCTAGCCTCAGCCCCACTGCCACCCATCACCGACGGGGCCTTGGGGGCAGGCTGCTCCGAGCTCGGCTGCGGCCGGTCCTTGTGCCGCCCGGCGCGGCGAGAGGAGCGACCCTCGCCCACGGGGGATGGCCGTGCATCTCCCTCCCAGAGACGCAACCGGTGTCGGCCTCCGCCTCCCTCTGCACAAGCTCCCGTTTCAATCAGGTCTTTTTTTCTACACAGGAAGGCAGCGAGGGGGGGGGGGATCCTCTCCATTTTATTTTTCTCTCTTTTTTTTTTTTTCTTTTTTTTTTTTTTTTTTTTTCTTTTTTTTTTTTTTTTTTTTTCTTTTTTTTTTTTTTTTCCTTTTTTTAACCTTCCACGGTGCGACACTAGCCCAGCCGCCGGCCAGCCCAGAGCTGGAGCCCGCCTCTGCCGTAGGTGCCTTGTGTCCGAGTGAGCCGGGGAGCGGCGACTCGCAGAGGGGCCGTTTGCAAGGAGCAGAGCACGAGCCATCACCCCGGGGGCTGCAAAGCCTCCCACCTGGCGGGGTCCTCTCCTTCCCGGCTTCCCTGGCGTTGTTTTACCTCCACGTCCTTCCTTCCTGGAATAACTGGCATCGCCGCCGCCGTGCATCTCTTCGCTTGGGAGAAGCCACAACGCGCCGGGCTGGATGGATGCAGATGAGGATGCAGATGCAGCCCCACGCTGGTGCTCGGAGCCTGGTGGAGCAGGGCTGTGTCCCTGCCACGATGGATTGGGCACCTCGTGCTCTTGACAACTGGAAGCCTGCGTGGTCTCGCTCCTCTCCCCGACCCAGCGCGTTCCTCCAGCTGGACTCGGCCCACGTTCAAACTTGCACCAAAGATCAAACGCCAGTGTCTCTTCTGCCGGCGGGGGGAAGCTTTGCCCCCAGCGCTGCCAGCCTAACGAGGAGGAGGAAGAGGAGGAGGAGAGTGAATTTCTGTCCGAACTTGTGTAAATAGAGACCTTGGGTCTGCGCAGGCGGGCGAGGAGCCGGAGAGCTCAGCGTGCTCCGGGTGCCACCGCCTGACCTGCAGAAAGTGCCACTCACCTTGGGCTTTAACCGGACTTTTTCAAACACTGACCATGGGAGAAGCAGCAATGAGACTTTTTTTTGTATAAAACAAAAAAGTTTACTGATTTTTTTTTTTTTTTTGGCAATATTTATTGGTTGTAAATAGAAGAGACGAACTTGTACATTTTACTAATCCAGCCTCCCCCTGCCCTGCAGCCCAGTCCCTCTCCGTCCCCACCCTGCTATTTAAACCTCCTGGGAGGGAGGTTGGCAGCGTTGCTCTGCTGTGCTGGTGGGGCACAGACCCCACGGGCACCCCCTCCCTTCTTTCTCTACCACTAAATTCCTCGAGCAGGGGCAGAGATGCTTGTTTTAATCATTGTAGGAAACACTAACCGAAGGGGGACCTTAATTTGCTCCTGGCTCCATCTCTTTTTTTTTTTTTTTTTTTTTAAGTGCTTTCTCCCAGCACATCTTTTCTCTTTCCCATCCGTGGGTGCTGCTGGGTGGGTGCAACGCCTTCCCCAGCTCTGGAAGAGGGGCCTGGGGGATACAACGCTGCAGGACCAGCCTGGCTCTGGGTGGGGAGAGGCTGCTTGGGTGCGAGCGTGGCCGGCGCTGAGCTCTCCCAGCCCCACGTCCCCTCGGGTGGCATCGCCCGTCGCTGCACATGATGGGAGCCCCTGGCTCCCTGACGCAGGGGCAGCCTCCTGCCCCCCATCCCTGCCCAGAGCCTGGCTCCTGCCCTCAGGCATCAGCACCCCGGGGTCTTCCCTCTGCTTTGTGCCTGCCAGCTCTCCTGCCCCCACCCCGGGGCCATGCTGTGTCCCCCCCCTGCCTTCTCTTCTCTTCTCCTCCCCTCCCAGGGGTGTCCCCCAGCAGCCCAGCGTCACCCGAGGGACTGGCTGTACCATATGTATTTTGTACCACTTCAATGAAGGAGCACACTGCCCGGTGTGACTTGTACACAGCAATGTAATTAAGTCTTTGCAATAAAATACTGACGCTCAAACGTCTCTGCCCCAAGGCAGGGGTTGTCCTGTCCTCTTTCCCCAAAATGCCTGCCACGTTCCCGGAGAAAGAGGAGCGGACCTGACTCTGGAGGAGGTTCTTTTACCTTAATCTGCTGAGTTGAGGTTTGTTTTGTGCTTGAATTAAGATAAAGGCTTTCAGTTTGGAGGGACTGGTGCCTGATGTTCAGCTGGACCCTGCTCATTTGGAAAATGCAACAGTCCAACAACTCGCAAATGAACGGAGTTCATTTGCGAGTTGTTGGACTGTTGCATTTTCCAGTTGCGAGGTCCAATTTACTGGTTTTACCCCTTTTATTCCAGTGCTGGTAAGTAAATGAACTCTGGCAGAAGTGATTTCTGGCTGCTTTGGCTTTGGGCCTCCTGTTGATAGAAAACTTGGCTTTGGGTGTTTTTCCTCACGTTTCAAAGTGTTTATTTTTGGTGCCTGCTCCTACCTGAGCACATACTCTTACCCACAGCTATCCTTTTTTCTTAGTTGACTGTTGTGTTGCATTGAGTTGCTTATAAGTATCTGAAGGGTGGGTCAAGAGAGAAGGGAGCTGGACTCTTTTCAGAGGTTCCCAGTGACAGGACGAGGGGCAATAGGCACAAGCTGGACCATGGGAAGTTCCACTCCAATCTGAGGAGGAACTTCTTTGTGGTGAGGGTGGCAGAGCCCTGGCAGAGGCTGCCCAGGGAGGGTGTGGAGTCCCCTTCTCTGGAGATCTTCAAGCCCCACCTGGATGCTCCTGAGTGACGGATGCTCCTGACGGGTTGATGTAGTTCTGGAGGTATGGTTTAGTGATGATGCTCCTTGTTTGTTGTGTGGGTGTCTATTTTTGTCAAAGTGAGGTTGACGGTTGGACAAGATGATCTTTAAGGTCCCTTCCAACCTAGAAGATTCTGTGATTCTGTGATGTGCTCTGGGCAACCCTGCTTTGGCAGGGGGTTGGACTGGATGATCTCTAGCAGGTCCCTTCCAACTCCAACAATTCCGTGATTGAGAAGGGTAAGTCTGTTGCAGAGCCCCTCGTGCCTCTGGATTCCTGCACTGCCAGGACCCACACCTTTCCCTGGCTGGAGCAGACAGACCCATCGATGCCCAGCCCCCCTTCTGAAGCCTTCTGAAGCCTGTGGCTGCGACCTGTGCCACCCCGAGGCAGGAGCATGAGGCAAAGCACAGGACCTCCCAGCCAGCCAAGGTGAGTGTGCACCTCGGGAGCCAGTCTCCCAGTGCAGCTTCTGTGTGTACACCCACAGACACAGGTATTCTAGGGAAATATCTCAGCCTTAACAAAACTCCAGCAAACATTAAAAAATGCTGAAGCCTTGAGAAGCCTCACACAAGAGCAGGAGGCTGAAATCTTATTAGACCATGCATTAGAGCATATTGTCAGCCACTAATGAGAAACCTTGCGCTCGTAACACACCGGGGAATACAAAAGACTTAGAAAATGCCAGCAGATCCTTAATCTGTGTGACGGGGTGGTAACACTCCAGGCAGCAATGGCAGACTAATGAGTGGCCAACCTCTGCAGAGGTGAAGCCCTGCCCCAGTGCCTGCTTCCTTCTGTCCTTGCTAACTGCTGGGGAAGGCAAAAGGGAACCGAGAAGTGCATCAGCTATTGAGGGTAACATACACTACATCCTGCGGAATTACTTACAGCCAGAAAGCTTTTTTTCCTGCTGGCTTTATTTCCAACATCACCAGCAAGCCTTGATGCTGAAGTCATGGCAGAGTGTTTCATTCCCAGGAAGGCAGCACCTGCCATAGGGACTCCAGTGGCACCCAGTGCTGTCCCAGCGCCGCCGCAGGCACCGTATTTTCCATACGACCACCAACCTGGGCAAGGTGTTCTTCCGGCACACGGAGAGATCTGGGAATGCAACTGTTCCTCTTTTCTGGGGTATTACCTGTTGGTTTGGATTTGGGACCCTTTCTTAGGAGTTTGCTTGAGGGTTTATTAGCCAGGAATTATGAAAGTGTAGGCACTGGCTCCCCAACATCAGGAATGACACCCATCAGCCAGCACTGCAGTCTGTGCAGAGATCGTCGGTGTCTTCGTGCAAATTCTGCTTCCCCACCCCCTGGGGACAGTGGCTGAACCCTCAGCCCTCGGGCAACAAGCGCAGAGATGGTTCTGTCCAACAGCAGCCAGACTGCTCACCGAGTTCACACATAGTCCAGAATTTCTGTCTCCATTTCATTTTCACTCCCATCAGAAGGCTTGAATTCCTCTTCCTCCTCCTCTTCATCATCCTCATCCTCTCCGGACTCATACGCCAGCTGCTCTTTGCCATCTTCACTGCTTGTTGTATTTGAAAAAAGAGCTTAATGGGGGAGAAAGGAAAAAATACACTGTGATGCCTCTCTCAGTGCAACCTGGGGGTGTTTGCAGAAGAGTTCATAAATCATGTGAGAGGAAGGCAGAAGCCGGAGGGACACAGCTAACGTTGCACAGCTTAATAGAATTGCCATCTTCACTGCTTGTTGTATTTGAAAAAAGAGCTTAATTGGAGAGAAAGAAAAAAAATACACTGTGATGCCTCTCTCAGTGCAACCTGGGGGTGTTTGCAGAAGAGTTCATAAATCATGTGAGAGGAAGGCAGAAGCCGGAGGGACACAGCTAACGTTGCACAGCTTAATAGAATTTGATCAAGCCCAAAGCAATCTGTTTCCACGCTCCTGGAACACCAGCAGAACAGCAGCAGATCTGCAGTGCAGGGTCTCCTCTCCTGGCTGATTCTGCCCTAGTTCTCTGGGATACTGCTTTGGCCCAGCATCACGCAACAATAATTTACTCCTTTTTCAATTAATAACATCAATAACAGTAAAATGCCACCATCAGATACATCAGTAAGAATAAGGTCTTATCGCTGTGCAAAGACATTTAAAACCTGAAGGCTGTGACACTGGGAAGATGAAAGAGAAAACCTTTACTCCCAGCCATTCCTAATCCCAATCCATGTTCATGCTGCAGGACAACAGCCTCAGCTCAATAAGCTACAACATCAAGAAACAGCAGCAGATCTGCAGTGCAGGGTCTCCTCTCCTGGCTGATTCTGCCCTAGTTCTCTGGGATACTGCTTTGGCCCAGCATCACGCAACAATAATTTACTCCTTTTTCAATTAATAACATCAATAACAGTAAAATGCCACCATCAGATACATCAGTAAGAATAAGGTCTTATCGCTGTGCAAAGACATTTAAAACCTGAAGGCTGTGACA